TGACATCGATGCGAAGATCGGGATGTAAAAGGAAGAGCATAGGATCGGGAGATTTGCATTGAGACTCCGGAATGAAAATGGAACGGTTTTGTTGGGCTCTTATCCGCCGCACGACTCTTCATGGCAACTTCATCTTCATGAAGAAAGAAGACCGGCGGTAGATATGATCATTCAACGGTACTCATGCGGAGATTGACCACATTCTCACCAACCGAAGGTGGTGCTCACCGTCTCAATAATACCATTCTTCAGTAGTGGCTCAGATTACACCTCCTTCGAGCAAAAGTGCGATTTGGTCAGGCTACGACCTGCTTCTTAAAAGGCTGAGAGCCTGTAGCGAATGTGTCAACGCCTCGCACAAGGATCTTGGAACGAGCGGAAGCCACCAAGGATCTGCTAGAGAGGAGAAGAGCACTGAGGCTGGATCACTGCATCACATCTCGAGCGACTGGTAGCCAATGCCAGTTGCAAAAGTACAGGCAAGCGAAACTTTTGGAAGCAGCACAAGGAAGGAAAAGTCTAAAGATATACCACAGGGAACTTTTCGACTACCGTGTTCCGCTGACAACATTACTACGAAGACGGGCTCGCACATCATCCCGGTAATAGATGGAATCGATTACGAAGAGATTCTACACCAAGCTCTTTTGCTCGTCAACACTCGTGTCAAACCCCGCTATTCCCATTGGAGGGATACGGGTGCATGCCAAGATGAACGATAGCTGCCAATAAGTGTGCGTTACGCCCATGTGTGTCAAATACCTATATACTTATCGCCACGCCCCTTTGGGAGCTAGTTGCATGAAGTGTGTTTTGGAGATGGCTCAGTGGAATGACTAATCTGCAGTTTCTCTTAGCCATCAGTGCTGAAAGCTGCCTTATGAGGTTTTCAGTTATTACGAGTACTGCGTCTGTTTCATGCAAACAAGTCAAGTAACTGTGTCATCTGCAGACTTCCTTCACTTTTTCCATTGTTTCTGAAATAGATGGGGAAGATCTTAAGAAATGGACCGTAATATTTGAGTTTTGTTGATATTCATCATGTTGATTCAGCAAGTGATTTCATATCTAAGCATGCAATTTCGAAGACTCACAGCTTCTACTTTCTACATGGTCTTTCCAATAGTGTAGAGGTTTTTATCGAAATGCTATCAATGTTCTAAGATTTATGTGTTAATTTGGTAACGCTAGATTCAACTGTCGTCTGTAGTTTGCCAAATTGAGCAATTTCTATCGGAAAAGTGTCCATATCATAAAAAAAGTTGCTTGAGACATCTT